TCAAATGTAAATAAAGCATTTCTTTTGTTGGAGACGAACTCAATGCCTTCCCACTCACTTAAATGCTCAGGAAAATGATGTTGTCAAGTCATGTTCACGAACCGTCGATGCCTCCTACTGTTAACATTGGAAACAGACAGCAAAGTAAAAACAAAAAATCCGTTTGGATTATTCCTTGTCACCCACAAGAACGGATAGGTTACAAGTTTTTATCTTCAGCCAACATTCGATCTGCAAAGGATACAGCCCTTTCTTTGTGACTACCCAAAAACAGTACCAACACTATGTTGCCGAATATTTTAAAGGGGTTATTTAACGTTATTTAACGGCGCAACAAAGAACCCGAACAAGGAACGCCAAGATCTCCAGATCTTATCCCCCTTTGATTTTTGTTTGGGTACCTCAAGAACCTTGTGTACCGCACTGTGCCAAACACCATGTAGGGACTTCGCAAACGAATTACTGGTGAAATCCCAGCCCTCAGAAGAACACGGATGGTCCGCAGAGCTATTGCAGACATGAGGACACAGGCACAACTATGCATTGATCTTATTGATATTATTATTATTATTGATCTGAAAGACAGACAGGTGGAAGGTCGAAGCAGGACAGTGCAGCAGAAGTAGGACAGTGAAGATGTGAACCTTATCTGTAATTCAGATTCTAGTTCAATAAATGTAGTTCGATTTCACTCGTATCCTGTTCTGTTGCTTCTTTTTATTTCCTTCATTGTCCAGTGGCCCATTATTTGTTGCTATTGTGTTGATAGCTGGAGGCCAATTCTGAACGTTGCGTTGGCAGTGTTTTGGGGTAGTCATAAAGAAAGGCCTGTGTCCCATTTTTGTGGAAGACACGGAATTATCCAAAGGATCTTTTTGAAACTCAGCCTGTATGTCAGGGATTTTCACGTATTATGTTGTAACTGTCCTTAATAACACAATTCGCAAGTAAATCTAACATTGTAGTACGAGACATGATATACAGTTATACAATTTTACCAATGAAAGGACGATGACACGGAGTTCAGCTTGGGTTTCACCCGCGCCTCCTTTGCCGAACTTAATTTCGCAAATTCTGGTGTGAATTTCACTCAATTTTTTCCCCTTGTTATTCCGACATTGACGAGAATGTTATGGTCGTGGCATTTTCGAGTGCGTCTCTCATGTGTAACGTGACACGACACTGTCACGAGTTGTATATGACAGACGGCAATATCGAGCAGATGCGTCCGGAAATCGGGTTTTTTTCGGGCGATGAAATTAGTTCATCCGGTTGCCATGGATACTCGAATCTAAGGGGCCAGCATGTCCGATATATTTCTGACATGGGTGATTGGTCTTTCGAGACCTACCCAAGTCAGATACTAGTCTGTTGCAGCTCCTTGGTACAGAGCCCTGCCTGTGGTGTACAATGTGCATGTGGCTAGTCACTTTTGTATCGACCACTTGTTTTCATTTCTTGCTGGCATTCCCAAGTGATCTAATTTGTTTTGCCCTTTTTGGCTACCAGATCATGCTACACCCAGCACGATGTGTGACAGAGGGGTCCCCCAATCTCCCTATACCCTGTTCACACTATTGTTACCTAACACCCCCTAAGATATCTCAAAATAATTCCTGAGATTTTAGTAACACAATGACCAACACAAAAGAGGAGGCGGTTCTCGCTGTCACATATTGTGATGCATATGATTCATTTGGCGGCCACTCCTTAGGCCTATACACACTTCTCATGACTGATTTACACATTCCAGTGGCCACTTTGGCCAGCAATTTCTGCCAAGGCCATCTTTGTCTTAAGTGGTCTCATTCAGTGGCCACTTTTGTCATCGATACTGCTTTTTCTGTATCTCACCTATCATTTCCTTCCACCAAAAATGACCACAAGAAAGAATAGCCTCTAATATTATTGTGGCGCATTTGACTTGCGAAGGCCATGGTATCTTGCAGTTCTCTGTACTGCAAAATAAGTAAATAAACAAATAAATAAATAAATAAATAAATAAATAAATGTTAATTCTTGGATATCAGATAGACAATTTAATGCATCAGTTGAACAACTGATGCCAACTGATTCCCCATGTGTCTGACTTTTGCGTTAAGATTGTGCATTACTTAATTTCATTCCCCCTCCAGCAGTGTCACTTTATACAATATATCTTATTTCTTAGATGATCACCCCGAGTAAATTTGGCACTTAGCACAGAGCCGTGTCAGTATTTACCTAAACATTAACCAAATCCCCCCCCCCCCTAAAAGAGAGAGAAGGTTTTCACACAATGAATAAAAAAATGAACCTCGGGGATAAGGGTTTTTCTGTTTCTCCAACATATAATCTGCCAACTTCTTGTCGAGAAAGAAAAAGAAAGGAAAAAAAATGACTTATTGTTGACTGGAGCAACCAAAACAAACAAGCAATTTGCTATACACGATCAGGTCATAGGTCAAGTGCACGCGACTTCAGACAACAATGGGCAAAAATTGTCAAATAGATCCGCGCCTGATAACAGGACGGTTTCATTTTGCATCGTGGGGGGAAGAAAATTATCACCATAGGGAATATAAATTATAAAACAACCAGTGTGGTTTTATTGCAGTAATTACAAAGGCATGGCGCTCCATTGAGCAAGTGATGCGCGTCTTGAAAGACGCTTTGAAATATTAAAACGTCCTTCAAATACAACTCCCGAACAACAACCTCAGAAACATCTTTCAGTGAGTGCGAATTGAAACTATTAGCGTTCATGTTGCAGTCAACAATCATCAAAATATCCCGCCACATTGCCGCCGCATCTTGAATGATTTGATGTGATAGTCCGACTCCTCTGTTCTGGTACAATCAAATAATTAGAGACTGCAGTTTGCGAAGAACATTACACGAACAGGGACATTTCGAAATTGACCTCGATCCTTATATATAGCACAATGTTTTCGACAATGGTTTTTATTACATAATGAAATTGTGCCCTTTTTCACAACTTAATGTTTTCCCAGAAAACTGGAGCACGAAATTGAATGTCATTCTAGTTTATATTCATAGGAGTTTGTTTTGACGCATCTTTTCTTTTGAATATTTAATGAATCTCAAACCATTGCAGATATCATTTGAATACAATTCTATATCGATCCCGCAAAACAATTAAATAATACTGATAGTTTACAAGTATATACTTTTTGCTGCATGTATATGCCTTAATAAACAGTGAACGATCTAAATATTTTTCATTTTGAAGAAAAGGAGAATGTAAAGTCTGACAAAATGTCTGGAAAAACAGCAATTGTGAGTTTTCCTATCTGTATAGAATACAAGATTGGTATTGACTACGAGAATTCACTATAAGCAAGAACAACTCTTTTTCTACATGTACATGTATATGAATCATACCTTCTATAAACTATTCCGGATGAAAAATGCATCCGTTTAAGAGGCCTTAACTTGCGAGTGCAGCCCCATATTTCCTCAAACCTTGCAAATGGCTGGGCTGGAAAAAAACAAACAATTTTAAAGGAGCGTGATTAAAAATTCACAATTTGGACCATCGCTTCCGTTCATCATCTTCGAACATCTTGAACTCATCGTGGATATTTCTCAAGACATCTCTGAAGATAAAAACAGTAATGACCTTCCGAAGTGGGTCACCGAGTCTAGAGAGATAAAAAGGGACACAAATTCGTTGATGTAAAGTAAAAAAAGATGACAAATTTTATTACAAAGGAGTGCAATATGCAATACATTGAAATACTTTAATGGAATATCAAGGGCGAGAAATATACACATATTGACTAGTGTAGAGGGCACTAGTTCTCATCTATGAGCCCTTTACACGGTTAATATGAACGGCTTCATCGTCAGCCATTTGAATGGGTTCGTACGTAAGAGTTGTTATTTGCCACAGTAACGGCGCAATATTGTCATCGATTCTTGAGCGCAGCCTCGCTTTCGCTCCAACATGGGTGACTCCGTCCAAAGAGCGCATGCGCCTGACGAATTGCAAATGATCACAATGAGTCCTTAGTTTGACATTTGTAAAAATGTTTTATATTTCAGTCGATTCAGTGATGGTGTGTTTTTGTAAGTGTGTAGTATTGTGATGGTATCGAAGGTAATACTGTCGTTCTTTCAATTTCGCATTGAATATGTATCTTTGAAAATAATATATTAAACTCTACACATAAACAATAACTTTATGCTTAAATTATTACTGATGCAATATCAGTCATTGCATCATATTTTAAACTGTTGAAAGGAAAACAAATTTATCAGATTTTGAGGTACATTATGCCTTGGGCTAATTATTATCATGCGTCATCGACCAAGGAGCGATACAAATCCGTATTAACTTCCTATTAAAATAAGACATAACAAAACAAAAACAACAACAAAACAAGGAAAAAACAAAGCCAAAACAAAAACACCAGCGTGTAAAACCACTCATTGTCATGAGGTGTTGTCGTATTGAGCATCATTAGCAGGACCGTGAAGCACTGTATAATAAAAAAGAAAAGAAAAAGAAAAGCATACAGAAAAAGAATACACTCCAACTTGGCAGATGTACAGTTAAAGGTTAAAGTGGAGATTAACATGGGATCAGAAGCTTTCGTTGCTAAATCGGAAATAACGTCATTAATGACTTTATTACTCTTTTCCTTATTTTATTTAAACATTAAGCTGGACATTTTACAAACAGGTGCACAGCAGGTGACAAATGTATGATTTATATGACGTATAGGCACTTGATTGTGACTTAACCGCAGGTGGCACACCTCATGTTTTTGTTCCCCAGGATGATGGTGTTCCGCTATCAGCTTAATTAATTGACAGCGATGGACGGATAGTAGCTGGGAAACGAGTGCGTGTATCGCTCGCTTCACAGGCAGAGTGGAACATGTCAAAATAAACTTAACCAAGGTCGCGGATTTTTTTTTTTATTGTTCCGTAAACCGTCCCGGCCTGTCATTCAGTTAACAGCACTGATCAGATCATACCCATTACCTAAATGAAACCTTCCATTAAACTTTGGACTGAATGCGGGGGACGTGGGGAGTTATTGGACGGTTGCTCGTTTCTGCTTGTGGGTAGCGTCACTAGTTGTGAGGCCCCAGTCAACGCCACAATTGATCAAAACCGGCGCGTTGCCGACGAGCTCCGTCATTTGTGTTTAGAAGTACGATACGGCAAAAAGCTGTGCGACTGTACGGTGCTAACTTGAGTACTTTCTGCTGAACGAGTGTTGAACGCGTAGACACACACACGGTGAGAGAACTGTTGGAATGCGATTTGTATAGCCGGGCCCGAGGTACAGTGTGTCGCCTGCGATAGTGTTTGAAGACGTGTTTGGCGAGTTGTTGTTCCCGGGGAAACACGGACCAGTGGAATTGTCGACACTGAAGGTAGGTATCTGACTTTATTTCCCGTGTGTTACTCTTTTTTCTTTGGATTTTCCTATTTTACCTATACACGTTTGAAGCTATAGGCCTATTTGGAATAATAGACTCACGGGGGAAAAAACAAAACATCTGAACGACAATCCCGAAAGTTTCCTGATCAATGAAAACAACAATTAGTGATTTTCACAAATTAAACGTAACTCACTAATGAGGGTTTTCGCACAGTCTCCGTTGGTCCAACACGGAGATACCAGAACCTTTTCCACTCAAGCAAGAGTCCGACACGGCTTCCACACGGGTTCGGCGCTTCACACGGGTAAAATCTAACCCTGGTGTAGGCTGGTCGGGACCAGGGTTGTGAGTCTCTATCCAGGCAGAAAATCCAAAATCTACAGCCGACCCGTGTACACACCAGTCACAGTGTGGACGGTATCCGTGTTTGACGGGACCCGGCTCCGCTGACTGTGCCCCCGACGGGTGAACGAGACCACAGTGTGAAAAGACCTCTTAGTCTTTTTCGTAAACCAGAATCTTTGGGTCGCTCCGCCTGTTTCTACTGACTGTTTGTTTGACTTGGTTGCGCCTATCAGGGTGTTTGAGCGTGCAACCAGGCTGTCTGCTTCCTCTCACCCATACACTCTAGCTGTGTGCTGAGATGTAGAACAAAGAGCTACTCTAATAGCTTGCTCCCACGTTCTGCATCTCTATTGAACTCTTTGCCTAGTGGCTGATTTCCTCCATCATATGATCTGGCCTATTTTAAGAGGAATATATACTTCTTCCTTCAGCTTTCTTCTCTTTCTTTCTCTTTCCTTTCTTCAGCTGTCCCTCTTTTCATCATATTTTTCTTCTCCATAGCCCTTTTTCAAGAGTGGCTTTTATAGCCTTGCTTGGGGTAATATTCCGTTAAAAATAGTGTACCATGCACCATAACACTTAGGATTGAACGAGATACGAATTCCTCCGATTGACCTTTGTTTAGGGCTTTATTGGGCTTTTCCCCTCAGTAGTTTATGAAAGGTAAATGTTTGCTTACAACTGTTGCTTTGGCAGCGCATGTACGACTTTGTTTACCGCGCGCGAATACTCGCTGGATCCTCGCTATCGTTTGTACGTAGTAGCGCCACACGTGTACATACCATACTTTATTTCTGTACGTAGTTTTTATAGCTAGATGTGATAAGGTTAATGCTTTTTGATAAGTTTTCAGAATGGCATCGTATCGGAGTTGTAGTTTTGGGAATACAAGTATAGAAAACGAACACCAGTATTAACAGCAGGTAATTGAATAGTTAGTTTGTGATCCGCACGGCGATTTATATTTTGTTAAAAAGGCAAGTGGTGCTCTTTGTGAATTTTTTTTTTTAAATATTGTCTCATTCGAAAGACCATAATTATACAAGGCTGATAAAATTGCAGTTCCATTTCAGTATGTATTGTTCGTTGTGCCACACCTAAAAGCACGGGGTTTAACTGAAACAGACTTTGCGGAAGACTGCGCACAATTAAGGCAAAGAAAAAAACACCCAATATTTCATTTACAGAACTAAAGGCGGTGGTTAAATTCCACGACGAAAATACAACTGGCACACTCCGTCTTCTTTAGACAATCTGATTTCACTTTGGACTTTTGTTTAAATCCTCTTGGTTACAGTTAAATATAGAAGCAATATGCGGGGAAGAACTCCCCCCAATTAACCTGGTTCCTGTGAGATCAAAGTGTGACTTTGTATTTGATCTAACTACGAGCTTGTTTAAAGGTCAGATTCGTAGGTATGACCCAAGAATGCCATAAATAAATTAGATTGTTGCTTGTTTATGTATTTTCCTGTTCGTTTTTGTTTGTCACAAAGTTAACGAGTCTAAAAATATCATTCTGTCTCCATAAAGTAATGTAGACGGCAAAGAGATAAGTAAACATCATATTTTCTTTTTGACGGAAGTATATTTTATTCACAAAATCAGTGCTGTCGTCAGGAAAATTCCATGTTAATTGAATTTAAGATGACCCAAATATTTGTTTGCTTGAGCATTTTTTGGTGGTTTCTTTTTTTGGTTTTCTGGTTTGTTTTTTATACCTTAGTTTGTTGCGATCCCAAGCACATAATTCCAGTCCCTGTATCTACCAGACAGTAACGAACCTCTGATCTGCTAAATTTGTCCTCGTGTCGAACTTGCTTGCACGCAACTGAGCATGTGCGTTACTGGTGCAAAGAAAGGAATGTGCAACTCGACAACCCCTGCGGGCTTGCGCAAACTCCTCACGGGAACTAACCGAGCACGTTAAACGCGGACACCTGAAGAGTACAAAATGTCAAGCCTTTGTTGCTGCTCACAATGCGCTAGTCGTACCCGCCTATTTTCCTGTAACAACCGTACTGCCACACAATCGTGCTCGTCCAAACCGAAAGTAACAATATACTTATTTAGAAAACCACACAACAAAACTTGCACGCTCATCGGCCTTGGATTTGTATCGAACCTGGTGTGTTATTGACGGTTGTGTTTCGGTACGCAATGAAGTGAAACAAGGAGTATCCCTCCCCCACGCCGTTATTAAGCCACGCCCCGTATCTCAACAATGCGTCACGGTTCAGACCAAAACAAAAAACCCACAACAATTTGAAACTGGAATAATCGCTTGAACGTCAGTGGATTTTAAACGTATTAAAGATATGGGGGACATACGTAATTTAAGAGGACTGAAATGAGACTAAGCAAACCTATTAAAGCTGGCCTCAGAGGGCACAAAGTTATAATCAACTGATTCCGAATGGCTACTCACTGAACGTCTTCTCAAGTAGCAATTGTGCACAATGTGCCGGGCTGAGTTATTAACCTAGTCCGGGCAGATTGGTGCACAATATGATGGAATTGTTAATTTGATGATAAAAGCATGAAATTGGGCATACAGTCTAGTCACAGCATGCCATGGAAAAGATATATATTTGGCTACGGCCATCGCAGATTTGCCCTTTGAAAAAAAATGCCATCATGCAATGGCCGCCATTTTGAATATTGTTAAAATCTCTTCGTTTATTCTACGATATTTTTGTTGTCAAGGACAAATCTGCGATGGCCCTATAGCCAACTATCTTTATCATGATATACTCTGACTGTGTGCCAAATGTCATGCCTTTATCATCAAACTGAACAATAATATTTTATCACCAATCTGCTGTTCTGAGTAATCCCATCCGATAGCACTACAGTGCCCAGCACTGCCCGGCTCGTCACCAGCTAACACCTGTATTATAAGCTAATTCCTAAAGTGACTGTGAGGTAAAAAGAAGCAAAATCCAGGAAACAAATATTGCAGGTTAATCGTAAGTCCAGCTAGGGAATTGTAGGAGCATCGCACATGAACACATACGTTGCGCGGATGCCGTAATGGTCATACCGAAGTTATATACTATTATATCCACTTATGTTGTTATCTGAGTAAATACTAGATTAAACGATACGGGATGTCGGGATGGTTTGCGGACTGCTAAATCATCAAATATCCGATGTGATGACAGGCAGATGTGTGAGTAATTGCAGGAAGGTTGCCTAGCGTGCACCGTTGAAGTTTGTGGGTTAAGGGCACTGTATTCGTGGTCTGTGGGTAAAACTGCAGGTTGGGTTCGAGTCCAGCCTTGGGTTATGGTGCGTGTGCCCTTGTTTAAGGCACTTTGTCACTCATTGCTTCTCTCCACCCAGGAGTAAATGGGTACATGTGAGGGCAGAGATGGTTAGCGTGATTAAACTAGCTTCCTTGCGCCTAACAGACAGCATCGAGCTGTATACTCCCCAGGGAGCTGAGATGGTATTTGGAATGTTTAAATGGCCAAATGATCAGGGGTAATAACAATGTCAAGCGCTTGATCTTAGTTAAAAGCGCAATATAAGAACATCTTATTATTTGTTATTATTATTAATGTTCCGAGATGTAGTGGATAACATTTAACTTACAAGTCTTCACAAGTCAATCACAACTCATCCGCCGGTATCAAGTCAAGTCATAAGCTACTGAATTGAACTCTGACAAAATCAAGTCCTTTTGTTCAACCCCTGTTGATTATAACTGGTCGTGTGAAAGCATTTACCTGTGACCAGACTTGTGATGGCATGTGATGGATGCGACTACAGCGCTGGGACTTTCGCGCCAGACATGTTCATCGTGAAAAAAAAAGATTCCTTCGTACACCTGTCACCACGAAGCCAGAATTGAGAGTATGATTATTTTTTTTTAAATAAAACTAAATGTTTCTGTGATTTCCCAGCCTCAATGAAGCCGAGTTTTCGGAGACTTCCCCTCCTCCAAATTATCCGACTTGATTTTTTTTCAGCGGAAATCATGGTTTAAAAAGAGCCTGTCTAGTCTGTCCATGTACAGATCACTGCACTATTACTTTTTTAATTAATGAAAGCGTAACTACGTCCTCCGAAATGGCTGTCCTTCGTATGCATATTTATAATGGGCGTGGATGTTTGCTCATGATCAACAAATTAACCTCCCAAAAAAGGTTGCACTAGTGTCGGGATTGAGTTGCAAAATACCACAGTAGTACTAGTATACCGGAGCCAATTACGTATGAGAAAAACACCGGTGGTATTGAGCAATGGACGTCAAAATGTAAGTAAGTTAACCTTGGTTAAAATTAACCCAATCATGAGAACAAAGGCCCTGCGGTGATTCGGGTTCGGCCGTGAAATTACGAGGGATGTTATTACCGGCTCATCACTCGTAAATTAGGCTCCTGGCAATTATTGCCGAGATCGAGTTTCAGATCAGAGAGAATGCGGCTGCGCGGGAGACTACAAAGGGACGGGCGAGTGCGTGGGCGCGAGCGCCCCGAAAGCAGTCTGACATGCATAGTAGTTGACATTTCGAAGTTTTGTGGGTCTGTGCATGATGTCTTAGTGTCCTGAAATTTAGTCGAGAGATTCTCCCACAGCAAAGTCTGGCTGAAATTGGTTTGAAATGAGTATGATTGGACAAGAGTTAATCACGTGATTGA